ATATCTCTGTTCTTTTCTTCTATCTCATATATTGAAGTATAGATAGATTAAAATACCTAATAAAAACAAAATAAGATATAATACAACGCTAGGTTACGATACTGTTTTGTAATATTATTAATTTCTAGAATTACATAAATCTGTAGATAACGATTGATTATAAATACTAACACTTCAAAATATAATATGAACTACTGAATGAAAAGACTAAATGATAAATCTTTAAGAATAGATCTTGAAATTTCTATAGTCAAGTTGTCATCAACATGCCAAGTAACTTTTGATATTATATTTAAATAAAACTATGAATTATTACTGGTTTAGAAAAAGCCCAGTTATGTGAGTATTGCTAGAAGACCCAAACACCCGCAAATTAAAATCTGAGTTAGCCAATCGATAGAGCTCGTCGAGTTGATTATAGCAACACCTAATGAACACTCAAAAAAGGTTTTATAGTTTCGCTTTTTAACCATACATTTTCAATGAACATCCACGAACACCCAAAAAAGTGTGTCAAATTCATCTCCAGTTTGTCCTGAGCCTACTGGTACTATTTTCAAATTGAACAAAAAATCGGGTTGAAAATGGTACCAGTAGGCTCAGAACAAACTAGAGATGAATTTGACACACTTTTTTGGATGTTCTTTGAAAATGTATGGTTAAAAAGCGAAAATATAAAACCGTTTTTGGATGTTCGTTAGGTGTTGCTATACTCAGTTCGACGAACTCTATGGATTGGCTAACTCAGATTTTAATTTCAGAGTGTTTGCGGGTGTTTGCGTCTTTTAGTAATACTTCAGTCATATTTATAAAAAGTTAACTTTTAGAACGATCTAATGAGATATATATATGATAGAGGGGCTTTATTTTGTTATTTATAGGTAGGTAAACGTATGTGTTTTATGATTCGTATTCATAATAATAGCTGCTGTATTTTCTGTGGTTAAAACTACCATTTGACTTAGAAGCTAAAAGTCTAGTCGTTCAAATAAAAGATGTTGACATGTTCTCGTTCACTGACTAGCATTGATGCCAAGCAATGTCAATATATTTCTGCCACACTAAAATTCTTTTTTATAGACCGTTTCTATTATAGTTGCATTTACTTGAAGTTAAAAAAGACATTTGAAATCATACAAGTGTATAGACTATGATATTTATATAGACAGACATCAACAAAGCAAAACGATGATTGCAAAAGTTGACACTTGTGTTGATTAAATTTATTTTTGTAGGCTTATCATATTGAAAAATAGTGTGAACATTTTATCTCTTGTACATAAGAATGAATACTTGACATTTATTCGTTTACTTATTCTATGAATAAAATGCCAAGTATAATTTTTCAATAGAATATATTAATATTAGACGAACTAATGGGCAATATTTCGAATATATTAACTTTGATTTTTAGTAGATAAAGCCACAAGGATTACAGAGTATGAAGTTAAGAAAAAAGCGAACAATAATATTTATTAAATACTATTCAATTAGAATACAAGGAAAAATAGCTCTTTTAAAAGAAAGTAAAACTCACCTCATTTATTAACAACTCTCACATGATCCAGTATTAGCAAAGTCTATTTATCACTAGTCAATAGACAAAATACCACCCACATCTATTCTAAATTTTCTTACAATAATTATAAGACAGTGTCATTTCTTACTTGACCATCTGATTATTTTTCATCTCAATCAAAACGTTCTTTGTACTAAGATCCTCTTTTTTCAACAATATTCAATCAAATATACAATGAGAAAAAAAACCTCTTCTTTTTCTTTCTCTTTTCAATGTCAAAATACGACGTCGACCGTACATATATAATAGAATATTGAATTTAAAAACGGTGATCGTAGAGTATAAAAAAAAGACAGAGAGAAGACGTGCTGTCAGATTGAATATAAAAACAATTCCTCAGTGAGAAAAAATAGAGAAGAACGAACAATTTTTGAACATTGACAATGAGAAAAAGATTAATATATATATATATATTAGTATTTTTTTCATCGCTTCTGATAAAACAATTATTAACACATTCGTTCAACAAGATATGACGTACATAGAAACAGATTAATAGAAATTTATGCAAAGTAATTACCACTTCTGTTCAATAATGCGGAACGGAACTATCTTGGTCGATAGACTTGATCTATCAGACATTAAGTATGAATATTTCAAAATTATTACTTTTCTATCTTCAAAAAATAATCGGCTACTATATATAGAAATATACATCAACAAAGGGATGTTGTTGAATCGTATTATTGTTCTAAAAACGATTAAGCCATGTTTCAGATGTACATCTTAATTGAAATTCTTAAAAAGCGAACCGATACTTCATTTTTTTTGAAAGTCTTTATACAAACTAAGATCTACATATTCATGTGATATGATACAACCAACATTCTTAGCTTTATTTTCCTTTTTCATCATAATAATTTAGTTTTCTTTTTCTCAGTTTTTGCTGACAAAAAAACAAAGATCTAATACCCATGCAAAACTCTTATTCGTGTAAAAAGTAATTAAATAATGAGAAAATGGTCGATAAATTTTGATAGCAAACAGTGAACTTAAATGAGACATGTTTATTTTGAAATATGGAAGACTAAGGTTGCTACCATTTTCTCTGTTAGAAGGAAGTAGAACGATAACTTCGACTTTATCATCATCCTTTTCAAGAATAGGAATAAGTCATATTAAAGAGACTTCAAATTCGTCTCTCAAAATCTTCTGTCATCTGTATATAAGAGTTTTGTGTTATAAATTAAGCACGTTTTCCTATATTATATTAATTAATTTAAATAGCACAATTGAAAACGTACAAATATGTCTCATTTTTTGAAAATTTCGTATATCAATAACGATTTATATTATTAATGTTATTAATGTATGAACTAAAATATTATATTAGTCTTTTTAGCCTTTGATTCGCTCAAACCAGTGGTTTTGATGAAATTTTGTGGCTATGCAAATACATATACTGTGTTTTTCCCACAATGTATACATTCTATGAGAGAAGATGATCATGAAAATTTAGAAATTCAGTTCCAAAAACAGAGTATATCGAAGATTGCTGTATAGGATAATGATAATGACTGTTTTTTCTCTTAACATGCAAGAAGTTATACCAGTCTGAGCGCCAACAAAATCTAAACTGAATATATCAAATAACCCATTGTGAAATGTGGGTTTGATCCTCCACATAGATATCAAAATGCTTTATCTATTATTTTATAGGATTTTGAAAAATATTTCTATAGCCAGACGATCGTTAGATGATGTACTCATGATTCAAAAGTGTGGCATATCGGAGGTGATACGTACGTTTCAAATACGTTGCTTGGAGAATTTTCAGGCATAATACTAGCAACATTTAGATTTTCGACTCGAAAACAATGTTATTCTGAAATATATTTCAGGTTTGGAAGGCGAGTGACTGCATCATTTATTGTAAGAGTATAATACGTAGTGCCTTCGTGTTGCAAATTCAACGAATGAAACTTTTAGACAAAAACAAAATAGGCTTTAGGTTCCCATTAATACTTTTTGTACAAGTTGCAACCACCAAGATATTTACTACTGGAGCGTCATCTTTAGTGTAGAAAATCGAACATTTTGCTAATGGTAGCTTGTTCGGCAGGACATGAAACCTCATTGTGTTATTAAAAATAAAACAGGAAATCACTACATTCTTAGGTTCTAATCACATACCAGTACTTCCCACTCAAATTTTCTCTCGTTGATCTAGAAAATTCAATAATTTTTCTCTGTACCATAAGGCACAACCAATTAATGGCCAACGGTTATAAATACAGAAAAAATTCTCAAAGCATCATTATCCACTCGTATCGAGAAAATACATGTGGAATGTCAAATATAAATGGAATTTTTAAAATGTGAAATGTATTCCAGCAAAATATAAAGTAGAATATACATTTTCTTCTCACGCATAGACTATATTATCAAAATCAATTTCAACCTAAAATTAGTAAACTTACCGGGTTCAGATCACACAAAATTGGCACAAAATTTGTCGTGTGTATTATATTTCTTGCGTTTCTTTATTTTTACGTTCTGTGTGGTTCTGTATTGGTCTGATAAATAAACGTATACGAGAAGAGTATCGAACCCTTCACAAGACTTATCACTTGTTGATTGAAGTCTTCTATTCTTGCTAAACTCATGATATCAGTGAAACTTTCTTCTTGTCTGCTATTTTCCACAAAAAAATAGTTTTCTATAGAGGACGCCACTTTTCGTATGAGATCTCCTATAACTCTTTAACTATATTATTATCTCGCTATTTTTGATGGGTGTTACTGAATCGAAAACTCTAATTTCCTAGATATACACGACAAAATATCATTCTAGTCCGCACTGAACGCAGCTACGTGCGCTAGCGCACTTTGTTCGAATTTAGAAAGTAAATCGGTTGTCTAATCGAGTATTTAATCATGCCAGTATTAATCAAACTAAAGATCAAACTAAAGATCAAACTTGTCATCTATTTTGCTAATTTTCAAACAAAAGTGAAATTTCATCGTTAGTGTGGGGTCGATCTGTGTTTGTATTGACCCACAGGGACACAAATAGAGTATCAACAACGAAAGAAAAGGAAAAGGCATGAATCAGTTCCTGGCTAACCACGCATTCATTCTCCGTTTCTCTTTGTGGTGAATGGCTGTCTTCTGCTGGTCGTTGGGAGCCACTTTCCACGTAGAAAGTGACTCCTGACGGCTACCATGGTGAATAGCATTTGTGTTAGCAGTATTTTGAAGCTAACTTTAGGCGGGTTATACCATTGGGTAGATTACGTTTTGCTTTTTATTGTAAATTTTGAGAGTTTATGCTGTATTTTTTGGTCGTTATATAAAAGTTCCATCATGTGATGGGCTGATTTGAAGTCTTTTTTTTCACGACAAATGTGAAATTTTAGTGTATATTTTTATCTTGTATAATATGTGATGTGACTTTTTTGAACAAAATCGTGCATGAATTGTACAAAACTGGAAATTCTTAGACGATTTCTATATGAGCCCGTCGGACTCCTGAAGGAGTTTTCTTTTTCGAGGAACCAATCACTTCTGTTCATGAACCATAACATCTGTTTAAACAAGTTGAACGGAAGAAAAGTGCGAATCATTTTTTAAATAGGGTTGACTGTGTTCTAGAAGTGATGAGTTCGAGTCTGGTAGAAAATTAGTTCAGACAGATCGATCCGAACTCTATATCAGATCAGTTTCATCAGCGACAAAATTTGTCGAAAATATTCACGATATTTCGTTAGACAATTTATAAAATGCTTTGGTTGTTTTCACTCATGGAATATGTCTACTTGTCTTTTCTAGAAATATTTTACTTTTCATATTCCAGAACGGCGTCGAATCGGATCCGACTGCTCAAAGATCAATTTCGAAGTCGAGTTCCCTTTTATTTTTAATAGAATTCCTTTTATTTTGTTCTGATACGAAACGATTGAGCACTTCTCAAGTTTGTTTGTTTTGTCTAATTCTACGACTACTGCATGTGTTGATTTACCTTTTTTGATTATTCATTTAACATTTTTTAATCGTATTTAATGGATAAAACAATATTGGCAGCAGCAACACGAACAAAAACAAGAAATTGCCAATGTCTAAAATCACCAATGAATGGACTGACAAAATATATGAAAATTAAATAAAGGCAAACAAGAATGACAAGAGTTGTAAACAGATAAGAATCAGTCATTCTATTTTGTTTTGTTTTATGTGCTCATTTATGATCAGAAGTTGCAAGTGACTGAACAATCAAAAAAAGTTGAACAGTTCGATTCTCCAAAATAAGATATTTTTATAAACCCATTTTTTGTAAATTTTGTTATTAGATAATAATTAGTAATATTTTTTTCCTCCTGTACGACTTTTTTCACGACGGTCGACTAGTGAGCAATTCCTCTTTTGATATATTTTTGGTTTTAATTTCAGCAATTGAAATTCGTCTCGCCCCAATGATTTTTCTTTTCTTCCATTACTTACACATTTGTATCATACGTGCAAGATACGACGATTTTCAGGTTTTTAATGAAATGAAACTTAAGGGAATTTTTTCTTTTTAGATATAATAATATTTTGTTGAAAGATAATCATCAGTGTGATTGACATGTACATTTCAAATTATTTTTTATTTCTTTTATTCGCTTTGATGTTGTGTGTATTAGCGGCCAAAGATTATTATGAAATATTGGGCGTGAAGCGAGATGCAACGGAGAAAGAAATCAAAAGAAGATTCAGAAAATTAGGTATATCGATCATCTCCTTTCACTCAGATACAAGAATATGGATGAAAACAGAGCTCGTCAGACTGGTATTTCTCTTGTAAAAGTGACACTTCCTTTTCAATTTCGAAGCAGAAGGAGCATTCGAACACGTAAACATAAAGTTTACAACAAAAACTTCGTTAGTCTATGCTCTTTTCGTTGATTGGACGAACTTTGCCAATAGTTGGCAAAGTTTTAATTAATCTGTTGGCAAAATTCTTGCCGGCAAAGTTCTCCTTTTCGTTAAGTGTATTAATATTTTCTGCTTGTTGTTAAACATGGTGTGAGCATCATCGTAAAAAGATTGTGTTCTTTTTTTTCTTGCGATTTAATGATTGCTTCAGACGAATTTCTTAGGATGTTGCATAGTCATTTATCCAAAGTTCTATTGATACCATAAATGTGTAAAAAAACCGATGGCTCTATAGTAATAATGTTAAAATAGACTCTTCTCTCTCTATATAAACCGTCTTTGACCTGTTTAAAGAGAATATTAATATAACGTAACTTAATATTAAAATAACTTTGTGCACCCAGACTTTTTGTATTATATAATATATTAATCGCTAATAGAAATGTTTATTTATGGCTATTTCTAGCATTAAAATATCATCCAGATAAAAATAAAGATCCAAAAGCTGAAGAACAGTTTCGTCAAATAGCCGAAGCCTACGATGTACTCGGATCGGAAGATAAACGTCGCCAATACGATTCACTTGGACATCAAGGTTATACTTCACACGGTAGTCAAGGCGGTGGTGGTGCTCATTCATCGTTCCACTTTAATATGAACGATTTTTTCAAAAATTTTGACGAAGCATTTCAATCTCATCATCAACAACATCAAGAGCATCATCAACGTGCCCATCAACGTGCTCACCAAAATGCATTTAATTTTGGTTCCGGGGGATTTTTTGATTTCAATTCGTTGTTTGATGATGATGATTCGGTCATGAATGGTGGTGAAGATAGTTTTTTTGGTGGTGCATTTCCATCATTTGGCGGTTTTGGTGGTGGAGACGTGTTTGGTGATATGGGTGGTAGTCATGTACATGTGCAGCATTCATCGTTTTCTCGTAGTACTAGTGGTAGTGGACAAAAGTGCCATACAGTAACGAAAAAACAAGGTAATACGGTATCAACAGTGACTGAATGTCATTGAACGACATGAGCGAGAATTTTTTTGTATACCTTCTATTTTTATTATTCGATCTGTTTTGTTTTTGTTGTTGAATCAATTTATATATATTTTCTCATGAATACATTTATTATATAAAAATGGGAGATGATAAAAAGTAAATTTTTATCGTCTGTTGAAAAATAATCCCCTGTATTTGGAAAACTCATGAATTATCTAAGAGGGAATAAAACGAAAATTTGTAATGGTTTTCATACTGCATAAGAGTATGAACAAAATCACAGATGATTTTTTCTCGTTTTGTACAGATATTTAACAGAAATGTCGAGTCGGTGGCTATCTTTATTGGCTTAAAATAAATAAAATCCAATAATCTAACTGACCACTATTCAAATGATAAAGCTATAAATTGTTCCGAAAAAGATGTTCATTCATTACTTCCTCTCGCATTCATCCGATAACATTGCATACTGAAAGAGCTATGTAAGACTATGATCCATCGTAAAGTTGTGCATGGTTCATACTTTAGACTAACCTTACATTTTTTGATATTTGCTGATTTTCAAATTTTTAGCTGGTATTTCGGCATTGCAATATTTAGAACTTCGATAAATTTTCAAAACATTCATGGTTTTTATATACCATGCGTATCACTAAACCAAAACGATGACTGAATGTCCTACAGGGATTCTTTCTGAGATTCTGTGGAAGTTCTTCTGGGGGTCCTGATTAGGGTAATAAGTGAACTGGAGTATATAAAATTAATGGATCTATTATCCGTCTAACTGCATATCCTCCTTTACACTGATTACTCAGTAATTTAATTTGTCACACATGTAAAAAGTTTAAAATTGATTTGCTTTTCCTATCAGTGTCTACCTACCCAGGTGAAATTCATCTTACAAAATCGTTTTCTTATGAAATCTTGTAACAAGATCCTGTAGAATCTTGTAGTATGAAAGCGGATGATCTTGCGGGATTTTGTCAAATCTTGAAATAAGGTCTTGCCTGTATAGGAATTGCTGAAATAAGATCTTGCAAGATTCGTCGACTTGAGTACACTAAAGCAGATGAATACGTTTAATTTTGTATTTTTATTCTACGAAGAATCACTAAGCAGAATTTTGTTGTGTAAACCGTAAATTTAAAAAAAAGAAAAGTGGAATCCGTGAAAAAATCATATATCTTTCTCTGAATCACATAAGGCGCGCGTAATTCAAAGTTACAGCGCTTTTCTTTTTGACCTTTTTCTACACAGTTAGATAGAGCTTTTCGAGCTGATCAAGAATACATTTAGTTTTAACCTTCCGAACGAATTTTTTTAATGAGAAAATTGAAAAAATACAGGAAGGATCCTAAATTTGAAAAAAACGTCCTGGCTTGTAAAATTCGAATAATTTTTTCTATTTTCACTTGGGAACTCTGCAGTTTCTTTTTCTGATTCAGCGCATAAAACTAAGCTTAGATCTATTATTTAGAGCTTTGTCACATATAACATGGTCAAATTAAAAATTGATTTACCAACATAGCGTAAAGTGTTTTTTTGACAATCTATCTGTTATTTTTACCAAGAGACGGAACAGTCATTTGTACTGTTTTCGATCTGTCTCTGCATGGATAAAAATAAGATGGAGAGGTTTTTTTGAAATTCCTTTTCGTCTTTTTCTAAATCAGAGACGAAAAAGTCAGAATGCTGTTCGTAATTTTCAATTTTCTCAATCAGAACTCAACTTTTATGCAATTAAAATATCATATTTGGAATTAGGATCAAAAACTAAGTCGACTAATGTGTATTTCGAAATTTTTATTTGATTTTCAATTTTTGGCGAAAATCTCGATAATTTTTCAACGTGAAAATTCGAAAAAACTGAAGTAGTCGGATAGGATAGAAACACAACTCTCCATCTTATTTTTGCCCATGCAAAGATCAATCAAAAACAGTGCAAATGACTGTTTCGTCTCTTAACAAAAAAAACAGATAGGTTTATAAAAAACGTTGATACACTTTAAGCTATGTTGGTAAATGAATCAAGCTATCGAGTAAATCTATGGTTTTTAACACATTTTACTCCATAACATGACGGAGTTGACTGACGGCTCCCACGTTGAAAAGTCTGTGATTGCGTTTTTTGTGGACTAGTCTTTTCTCAAATTTTGCAGTGTGCTGATCGCACTCGTACAACATTGTAGATGGCACTTGTGTTTGTTTCTGAATGTAGTACAAAGAGCGATTCTATTTACACGGTTAAGCAAACTTCTTTAAACATGCGTTACGCTTTTTAGTCTAGTTTTTGTTTTGATTTATGGGAAATACCAGTACGAACTGTCGTGGAGTGTATATATATATATATTAATACATGAAGAGGTTTATTGTAGTTTAGGTGATAGCTGATAAAATGGACAATCATCATAGGTGTTTTAAAGGAGCGTAATAAAAGTGAAAATCTGAACGGATGAATAAGCTTTATGATTGACGATAAAAGTTTTATTGCTATATGTAGGTTGATTTTTTAACAAAAAGATCTTTATATGTCAGCTAATATCATGAAATATTAGGAGAAATACCAGGACAAGGAATCATAGAAAAAAATGGTATTTTTCAGTTTTTGTTCAAAAAATTTCATCAGATGTTTTGATGTCATTTTGCTCACATGTGATGTTGTACTTTAAAATTAGTTGACCACTTCGTGCGAAAAGGCTCGATTGTCCTGATATTTTGTTTTTCGCATTGAGAAAGACTTTTATTTTAGTATTTAGTAGGCAGAAACATGATGGCTTATGACTAGCATATATAATATCTATGCTGTTCTGCTGTTCGTTAAGTTTTAGAATTAAATATGTAACATGGTTCACTCACACAAAATTTACGAAGCTGATTTTAACAAAATTGAAAATTTCTAAAAACTTTTTCATAGTCGTGTTTCATCCCAGATATTCCGATGTTTAATGGTTCTCAGTAGCATTTATTAATTTTCCTCCGTTAATTTGTTGAATGAAGTAAGAACTAGTCAGTGGGAAAGTAACAGACGATATAATCAATAATCCTATCTTCGTTTTTCCTACACTCCAAGTTTTATAGTAATATTAAGAACGAATACTGTTCAGGTGTTATATCATACTGCGATTATTTTAGAGTTATCTACAATGAATGACACTAGCACACGTTCATCGAGAGAAAAGTTGAGCTTTATGAATAATGGTCAAATGATCGTTAAAACAGATTTATCGTCTTTATTAACTGATTATAGTAAAAATCAAAGACAGTGTATGTATTCCTTATCTTTTGTTAGGTTCACATATTACTATCTCTTTCTTTGAACAGATAATGATCGAATTCAATCATTAGAACGTGAGATGACCTTGTTAAGAACAGAAGTTAAGAATGCATGTACATCACAATCTTCACAGGACACAGATAATGAATTAAATCGTACATATTCAACAAAAATTCCACGTTCATCCTATCACCACGAGAAGCATGTCCAGCAGCAGCAGCCACAACACCAGAATGAAGTAAAATCAGCCAGAACTGCTACTTCTTCTCTTCAATCAGCTCGTGTAACGAGTCCGTCAAGAATACCCTTACCAATCAAATCAGCTGTTGCACGTAAACTACCGAATAATGAATCGTTGAATCAAACACAGCATAAAACACATCAATTTAATATTTCTAATACGCATTCAGTTGACGGATCATTTTCACGTGTTTTACCACAGTTACCATCGAGAAGCAAAAGTTTTAATAGTATAGATCGAAAATCAAACACGAATCAATCCACTACGTCGTCTACTACAACACTACAGAAATCATCGACAACAACAAGTATTTCGAATACTAACATGCATCCGCAATCAATATCAGCGATGGACGAAGCAAATCTAATACGTTCATATAACACTTATGTTGAACAACTATTGAAAAAGGATAATCAAAATAGGCGATTAGCAGAATTACGTATACCGAATTATACTTCTATCGAAGATGTTATTAGAACCAATGAGGCAAGTTTGTAGAAGAGTAAGCATTATATGAGCATCTTACAAGTTTTTATTGAAAATTAAGAAGAATATACTCTCAGTTCATCGTACTTTATAAGACGATCCTACTTCTTTTTTTCAAAAAAATTTAAAATAAAACTCGCAAAATGTTCTTCAAAACTTGAATTGCTGCTTCATATTTACTATTTTCTCCTTATATACCAGTGGGAGAAATAGATTTGCTTCTCTTAACCTAGTATGTATTTGTTTAGAATTTAGTTTTGGACAATGATCGTTTACGGACTGAGTTAAGTCGTTTAAAAACTGAAAGTATACTACTTTTGCGAACAATGAAATCACCTGGTTCAGATAATATCGGCAACGACAAAGTAAGATTATCTCTATTCTATACCTCCATTCTTTTTTGATTTTCGACTAAAGAATTTGATTTCTGATAGATCTTTGTTGGAAGTTGTACATATTACAATTCACTACTGAGCAACAAGAGAGCAAGTACGAAATATCTTTGTATTCGAATGGCTTTACCCACAAAACTATATGACTATATCCGTGTCCTCTTATTTCCTTCTTTTAAAGAAAAATAGTTTATAAAAATTAAAAGTGAATTACTGTGAAACGGTTTTGAGAGGCCGGGAACACATATTCGTGATCAGCGCGCGATTCTCTATCGAATGGTGTGTAAAATATAGAAACCTAAATTCTGTTCGCTCTTTGCCTTACGTGCATCTTAATAACCGTTTTATTTAACCTATTAATAAGAATTCTTGTAAAATCTTCTCCCTTTCTCTTTGTTCTATCCGCCCATATATTATTTCATTCCTGGAAATACCTCATAAACGTATAACACAAAATATCGAAGAATAATCTCATACATATTGTTTTTCATGTTATTGGCGTATAAGACACTAGTCCAGAGCCTCTTGTACATAAACATACTTTTCAAATTTTTCTAATAAAAATCTCTGTCTCTTCATATATCCTTTAAAATGTTGTACATAGTTCAGGTCCAAAATAGCTGTTTTAATCATTGTTATTTAGATTAGTGCTGATCGAGAACGTCAAGAATTAGTTGTGGAATTATCTCGTCAGGTAGAAGAAAATAAACGTTTAAGAAAATCCCTTTTAGCTCAATCTGCCAAATATTTGACATTAAGACATACGGGTAATATATTACCAAATGATAGTCATAGAACATCACCGGTATGTTCATCGTTCTATGCAATATAAGAAATACGTTAAAAACCGATCATTTTAGGATTTGTTGCCACAACAACAACAACAACAACAAGATAAGACGGATATGAAGACGAATTCAAAAGTGACTAATATGAATAATTCCAATAATGGAAATATACATCGTGCAAAGACTTTCTTTCATTTAAGAGATAATCGTGATACTGTATAAAAAAGTGTCTAGCATTCCAGTTAAGTTATATACAAGAAATTTTTTATAGTTGTAGATAACATTTGCCGTATATGAAGAAAACGTTCACTCACGGATATACAGTGTATAGATACTGCTACTAATAGTTTGTTGCTATAGTGCCTTTTAACATTCTACATTCTCCATCAGTCGTTTATGTCAGAAGTAATAATCATTCACTCCTTAGTTTCTTATTTTACTTCTGTTGAGGTTCTCTTACTATCTATTACGTCGAACAGTCAAACTTTTTATCTATGCAACCTTTATCGTCGTCCTAAACGGCCGGTTTCCTATTTTGAGGATTTTCAAAACTTTCTTTTAATTCATCTTAAACAAGATTGTTCTACTTTTCTCGCCGGTGGTATAAATTTTCGAACAGTTTCTTCTATTTCTTCTTCTAAGCTTAGATTTTTGATAGATGTGGTTGATCTCAAAAATGCATTTTTTGTATCGACAACGGTTCATGACACCTATATAGACAATGTTTTTTTCTCTTCAGATTTCCATTCACCTTCGACTTCTGTAATTGTACTCTGAATTCGTCAAAATTACATTTTCTACGGCAATAATCTTTTTCCAAAACTTATACCAGAAGTCTTTTTCATTTCAAAAAAATTTCTGTAAGATCTTTTACGCTGTTTCTGACGTGTTCGAAGCTATTCTGGAGTTAAAAAATAAGGAGTATGTAGGAGTAGATTAAATTCCTGTTAGGTTTCTAGAATTATGTACGGACCTGCTTTCAACCGAGCTCACATTTTTTCTATATCTTTGAAAGCTGGTATCTTTCCTTCAATTTGAAAAACAGCCTTAATCTGTGCCATTTTCAAAAAAGACAATAAATTTTAGCGAAACTATTATTTTTTAATTATCGAAACTATTGTCTTTTAATGATCTATAAAATCTTTGAGAAAACTGTGTATAAGATACTTCTCTCCTTCTTAACAGAAACCAATTTCTTCTCACCATCTCAATTCGGATATCATATCAAAACTCTATCATCGATGCTCTGCTCTTCATCACTACCAAACTGTACCAGTCGCTAGATAAGGAAGATAAGCTCATAGGAATCTTTTTCGATTTTGAAATATCATTCAATGAAATTCCTCATTCGATCTTTCTTCAATAACTACCTCCCACAGGTATATCTGAGCCTCTTGTCGAATGGTTCAGGTCCTATCTTTTGGACCGTTCACAAAAAGTTGTTGTTGACAACTCTTATTCTTCTGCAGTTCGCGTAATATCTGGAGTACCACAGGGAAGCATAGTTTCAATTCTTTTTCTCATTTTTATTAATGATCTACCCCCTACGTTAAAAATGTCGTACGTCTTTGTTTGCTGATGATGTTTTGTGTTTAACGCCTATCCTTTCTGCTCAAAGGTGTATAAATCAAGTTCTTATGTGGTGCGACAATAATTATGCTAACCTGAATATTGATAAATATCAATGAATCTTGTTTTCTACTTCCAAAAACACTCTTCCTTCTTTTTCTTTATCAACAAAAAACACTCAAATCGAACGTGTATCTGATCTTAAATTATTAAGCGCTTTTCTGTCACACAAGCTCACGTGGAAAACTCATATTGATCGTGAAATTCTTCTAAAATGCTAGGTTCATTTTATGATGTGAGTAGTTCAGAACTTCTTCTAAAAAAGTTGAAATTGTCCTCATTATTAATTCGTCACAAGTATGATCGATTGACTTATTTTCATAAAATTTATCACAAAACGTTCCATCTCTACATTCAATTTTTTTTCACCACTCAATACTCGTCAAACTTCTCGTGAGGATCATAACAGACGCGTTGTTGCACCTAATTATAGATTAAAAACGCCATCTGGCTCATTTTTACCTAGAACATCAAAAGATTAAAATAATCTGTGACGCTTCAAACTAGTCATTCTATTTTTGAAAAAATACTTTAAACTAACTTAGCTCTCTCTTAATCTTTAGATGTTAAAAACTTATTCTCTTTTATTTCTTTTTCTTTTTATGTTGTTGTATGTTTTTAGTTGGTGTCACACAGTTTGTCTGTAAAAAACAGAAACTCTCAAGTTGCTTCAATGTACACCTTTTTGTGATTTCCTTGCTCATGCTGAAATAAATTTGAACTTGAACTTTATCAGAATGTTTTATAAAATTCATCTAAGAGACATAAAAAAAACTTTGAAAGAAATGCTTTATGGAAAATGCAGTCTTATGTCAAGATACAAGCGGGCAGGTACGCGTTGATGGACAAGTGTCAGAAAGCTTCAAAATTGACATGGAATTAAGACAACGATGCGTTCCATTACTACACGTGTTCAACAAGAAATTTTGACCTCATAATAAGGAAATTTTAAATAAAACAGGTGTTACGGTGGTGAAATTAGTTTGTTACAGATTTATAAATTTAGTTTATTTTGACCGTAATACTCATGGCAAACGTTGGCATAGTACATCTCATCTATTTACACGTTGTAGGAGCGTTCTTTACGACGATTTAACATCTTGAGAAAAGACGGGGGATGATACGAGCCAAATCGGCCCACGCTCAAATCAGTCTAATGTTAAGTCATCTGACGCAGTTTTTGCCCGCCATCAACGCTAACATATTTTTAGACCTTAAAAATACTTTTCCGCGCCTCTGGAAACATTTTAGCAAGAAAAACTCTTCTCGCGTTAAACGACCTTTACTCAAAGTATTTGCATTATTCCACCTCTTTCATCTAGACCAAATATCAACTATTATACACTGTTCGATAGAGAATTTCACGGGCTATATAATGATATATAACATAGCCTTAAGAAAATAAAACTGGGTAGTCTAAGATTCGAAATACTCGGTAGCATCTCAGCAAACTGGTAGGCCAACGCGTTCATGTTTATAAAATCCATTGATTTTCTCGTTAACCACTCTACAATGTATATCATTCGATAGAGAATTTCACGGGCTTCAAATTGAGCTATGAATAAGGCTTTCAAAGATATGCCTACATGGGTCAATAGCCGAAATACTTGGTCGATATTGTTAGAGCCCAGTTACACAATTCTATGCTCTATCTGGCTTTATAATTCGCAACATTTTCTGACCAAAAACCAAGGACTTGGTTTGCCAGCAGTCAGGTTTTCCAGAAACTCTATTTTCAACTTTTCTCATGAAACGACGATATGCACCTTATCTGTATCTGATAGAAAAATGTTCTGGCTATTCGAAACAGTATTCAGATTGGTTCAAGCCTTTACTAAAACCCCAAAAACAAAGGAGTTCTTGTGATTATGACACACTGTACAACATAGATAGCACCCAAACGCTTCTTTTTCGTATCTTTAATGACTGGTCTCATCTGTGTGGATATGCAGAGAATTTCAAGGGTTATCCAATAGTATATTTTTGAAAAATATATAATTGTTTTTCATTATGGCAGAAAAATGACTAAAGGAGAGTTGAAAGCACTAAGATAGGTGAAAGTCATTATATCGGCCAAGTATTTCGGCTACTGACCCATGTAGGCATATCTTTGAAAGCCTTATTTATAGCTCAATGAAATTATTTGAAGCCCGTGAAATTCTCTATCGAATGATGTACAATGTAGAGTGGTTAACGAGGAAATCAATGGATTTTATAAACATGAACGCGTTGGCCTACTAGTTTGCTGAGATGGTACCGAGTATTTCGAATCTTAGACTGTCCAGTTACATTTTCCTCTGACTGTCTTATACATTATTGTGTAGGTCGTGAAATTCTCTATCGAATGATACATAAAGTAGAGTGATTAACGGGAATTAGTCATGAATATAAAGGCATGGAATAAGTTAGTGTACTTAGTGTAGAGTGTATTTTCAGAATCTGTATCGCTTTCGGACCTAGAACTGGTTTTTCGTGGTTTTCGAGCAAGTTTTCTATCGACTTGAAAACTAGAGTCTTGAAATAATAATTTTTTTCTGGACACTTACGCAAGTAAATTTTTTCAAGCAGAAAAAGCATATTTGTTAATTGAAAACAGAAGAAATACCAAATAGTTATAATTAATTGATTACTGGAGCGATTTGGAAGAAGTTATTCTAAAATCTTCATGTTATCTTTGGTTACAGTGCTGAATGTAATTTTTTGATAATCTGTGATGTGTGATCAAAATTCAAAACAAAAAAGGTTCATTCTGACTTTTCGTTACGGAGAAATCTGCTGGGTAATTAATTTTCGCCGAATGTGATTATATACATTAAATATATGTTTGGCAAAAAAGAGATTAAATTACATTTAAGATTACACTGACTGAATAGATTCTAACTGGACTCCAAACGGACTTGATAAAAAACCCTTCAGTCCAAGTCAAGCCCAAGTCCGTCAACAAATGCTTCTAGTCCGGACCTGCACGCCTCTGCTCTTACAAATGGTACATAAATTAGTTTTCGACTCGATCAGCTACTTCTACTAGGCTTATTAAAAAAACTAGATAGTTGCATCTTTTTAACCGAAGATCGTATAAAGTGCGGGTATGGCACAGTGGGCATTTTTTGCTAGAGCAGGCGGACTTTAGCTTTATGAGTGAACTAAAATTTCATGAACCATTTTTTTATAGGTTTTTCATGATCCTCTTTCTAATGGCATGAGAGTTAGGTTTTGAAAAAGTTTTCTCAGGAGTTTTCCAGAGATCCGATCTTTCGAAAACCCTTCAGAAAACTTTCTTAATATTTAAAAACGATGCCACTGGAAAGAGCATTGTCGAAAACCTATAAGAAACATGTTTCGAGTCGTTCAGGTTACTTTATCTTGAAATTCAAATTTTCAGCACAAAATTGTTTGTGTGAATCTCAAAAACTAAGAAATTTCTAGAATTCAAAATCAGGCGACCGAAACTAGATGATTATACACCATTCGATGCAGTTTTTCATGCTGATTCCAAATATGGTATTATATTTTAAGAAAAGTGCATTTATACTGTAGAAAACTGCAAAATACCTCCAAAATCCCAGGGGTTTTTGTAAAGCCTATTACTCGAC